GCGTGTTTTTGCACTTCCTTCAGAGAAATGCTGCGAACTCAGGGAAAGAGTGCCAAAGGCATGACCACGGGCTGAGTGAAGAGGGTACCACACATACTCTTTGGTTCTATTCGGTAAAGTCACGTAGGTAAAAATAAAATAACAAAAAATCACGACGTTTTGGCCACAACACAAGTGGCCTTCATCAGGTGAAGGGACTGGACTGTCCAGAGGACAGCGTTGGAGTGAAGACAGCAAGCCCAGGTCGCGTCCTTTAAGCTTGTGGTCACGGCATCTTTTGAGGAAGGTCAGCGTCTCGATGAGCTTTGACTTCTTGTCCCGTTGTCTGTTAAAAGCTCTAACAGATAGGTGAAAGCCCTCCCCGTAGAGGTTATCAATTCTAGATTTGAAGCTTTCGTGACTGCAAGGATCCATACTCTTTGGTTCTATTCGGTAAAGTCACGTAGGTAAAAATGTGACTTTACCGAATAGAACCAAAGAGTATGGATCCTTGCAGTCACGAAAGGTTTAAATCTAGAAGAGGGTACCACACCTCCTGTGGGAATCACAACAAGGGAGCTGGGTGGCAGTTGGCAATCAGATGAATGGGCCGGAGGCACTGTCCTTTTATTACTGTAAATGTGCATGTTGTTTTCTGTGTGCATTCAAATGTGTATATATATACGTAGACGTCTCAATACTGTTTTCCCCTTCTACATTGCGTTGTATGGCCACTTCCATGACATTGGGCGAATTCAGGGTAAAATAGACGCATCAAACTTATTACATGCAAACATGAGCCCCATGGGGTTGAGTGGTGGGACAGCGGTTAGTGCACTTGCACTATTAACCAGTGCATTTCATCTGGAACTACGGACATGGTCAACATCGGTGGCGAGTGCCATCTATATCGGTCTTGGCCTTCTGCCTTAACAAATCCGCAATTACCAGCACGGTGAAGTATTGTCAAACGACCCCCGCCCGTGGCCAACACGACGCTAGGTCGCCTTCCTCCAGCACTCGATGGACAAAGGGTTGTAGATCACCACGATGAGCATGGCCACTCCGCCCTACGCGAGACTCCCTAACCCCGTGGGTCTGCTCCTATCGTTACAAATACACTCGCATCTTTCCGCTGGAAAAACGATTGACGTCTGTGCAGCAGCAGGGCATGCGTGGGATTTTGCTATCGGCAGCGACTGATCGATGAGACGAATCGTGGGGGGTGGGGGGGGGGGGGGGAGGGTTCTTCCCTCCGGTCATTTGTGGCCAACGCCACCATGCTCCCAAGCCTCCAGTGTCTACCGGCAGCATAGCAATGCTCTCGCCTCGTGCCCGGGATGAAGAACACGTGATCGCTGCAGCACTGCAAGTCCTAGATGATAAGATACGGCGGGTAAAGCATCACGGTATTCGTGCGACGCGCGGAGAACACGACGTCGTGCTACGAACCACCGAGTTGCGTCAATTACGGTGTTTAAAAGTCAGTGATTTATTTGAGTTTTGCTCAAATGAGCATCGAGGCAGTGCTCATCTCCTGTGCACAGTCCTACACAGTGGTACACATTTTATCAACCCCAGGAGGGATGATGGGCTGAGTCAGCACCGAATGGAATATGGTGGCTGTAGTAATAATAATTTACAGACCTTTGTTAATCCGCTGCTGCTTTCATTCTGATGGCCTTAATCTAAGTTGTCTTGTGGTTGTTGTTGTTGTTTTTGTTTGACTTGCATCCCACTGGGATTTTTTGCACACAGCGTTGGTGTACGGTGCTTTTTCTGCAATATTTTGCTGTCTTTTCTTGGATTATCTGTTTGCACAAAGTCACATAATCACTTTAAGATGTTTTTCTTGTTCATGTTTTTTTGTTTGTTGTGGTTGCACCCGATTCAACAGCCGAATGGCTCACAGGGCTATACCAAATAAATGAAACTGAAACTGAAAACTGAAACATTCGTTATCAGTCATGGGGACTGTTTGGATCATACTTCGCCACACAGGTTAGTGTGGATTGATGAAAGTGGCGGGACTGCTGAATAAATTACTCGTGACTAATATTAGCCGTGGTCATAGCAATGCACCACCCTTCTACGTCAAGGAATTCTGTTATAACCGTACTGCATGTGCTTCATTTGTCATGCACTGTGTAACAAGACGTGCTTTATATGTATAAGCTGACATAAACATACACTCGTACATTATCCATGCTAAAAAATGCAAATCCAAAACAAGAATTACTGCTGGGAAAATTATCATGTTTCGCCGTCACAAGGGCCTAAACGAGCCAGATGTATTTCTCGCAGTGTAGCACGTGAGCAGCTAAATTGCCGTAGTGGCTAAGAGCTATTTGCATTTTAAGCGGCTGCGTTGGCACACAAATCTGAGAAGATGTCAGCGTGTCTGGAGCCAGTGAAATATGAAAATCTCTACGGACTCTCTCTCTCTCTAACCGCAAGCACACCCAGCGACGCACAACCTCGTGCGCGGGGGCAGTTTCCCTGTTACAGCGGCATCACAAGGAAAACCATTTTAATATCGCTCGCGTTGGAGATAAAGGGGTGGGGGGAAGAGTAGCAGAGGGGGGGGGGGGTGGCACCCAGACATCGCCCGTGGCGAAAAACAGAAAGAAAAAGCCGAATGGCATCGAAACAAATTTCAGCGAGGATCGTATACCATATTACGTTTTGTTTATGTAGCGCACGACGGTCGAGATGTTCCAACAGATGGCTCGTGACACTCACGCACGCGCGCGCACAGTCAGCAAGCCACCTTGATTTATCTGCCCAGGTGTGAGGCCGCCGCGGGGGGGGTGGGGAGGGGGGGGTGACGCGATGTGCGGCGGGGAGGGGCGGGCCGGTGTGGCAGCAGCTGAGGATTATTATGATTTAGAATAAAAAAAGACAGCCGCCACCGCTGTGCCACGGGGGGAGAGAAAGAGGAAAAAGAACGAAAAACAAAACACCCCACGAGGGGCGTACCATTAGCCGGCTGCGTACGTTGGGGGGGGGGGGGGGGAGCCTCGCGAGCGAACGAATGAATTGCCGTGAATTTGCGCAAGGAGCGTTATTAACGGTGAACTTGTATAATTCATGAGGCTTAAGAAACGGGCCCTGCTGTTGTTGGTCAAATCGCACGCGGGAGGTGTCTGCAAGTCGCGGATGAGAGGACGGAACCGGTGTCGTGCCGTCACGGTCGCACGCATGCGATGCGCTCTTCGGACCGTTCGTCGGGATCCTAAAAGCGGGCAGGTTTTATATTTCATCGAAACCGGACCAGATCACTGTGCCGCAGACGCGCGGGAATTAAGTGGCATTTAACAACAGCTAACGGTACATTCCAGGAAAAGTATAAAAGCGTTATCATGAGTTGTACCTGCGGTGACTGCTATGTCGGGGAGACGAAACGACATATTTCTGACCGAATTCGCGAGCACAAACCAGATTTGAAACACGGCAGAACGAATTATTCTGCCGTAACTGATCACTGTTACAACGCTGTGGGTTATCACGATATTGTTTTATCCGATACCAAGGTACTCTGCAAGCCGTCTGGATACCACCAACGATTTGTCCATGAAGCCATACAGATATACAAACATAGACATAACTTCAATCGAGAAGATGGATTCAAATTGAGCAATCATTGGAAAGATGTGATTAACCATGTTAAACCTCAACCGCTACTCTCCCCCGCTCCGCGTCCCCCCCCACCCCATCCGTGGCTCCGATGTTTTCTAGGACGAGTTTCACCTTTCTGGCTCCTCCCACACCCACCCCATGCTGCGCACATCCTCCCTGGCTCCTCCCCCTCCTCTTACCCTATATAACAGTCTATCATCACAAATAGCTCTCTCTACAGTTATTTTGCTGTGCCTTTTTTACACCTTATGAAGGAAGCTTGTGTTGCCTCCGAAACGTCGTGATTTAATCTAGTTGTTTTCATTTATTTTTATTTTATTTTTTACCTACGTGACTTTACCGAAAAAAAACAAAGAGTATGAATCCTTGCAGTCACGAAAGCTTCAAATCTAGAATGTTATTATGCTGTTTATGCATAATAACACCTTTGACACTGCTGTTCATTCAATCATAAAGGAAACCAATAAACACGCTTTTCAGAAACGGCGCTTAATAGCGGCTCTGAGTAGAAAGCTAATGTAGCGGATTAATACTCTGGTTCTTAAAACTCCACTGCCCGTGCCTCCCCCACTGTCCACGTTTCCATGTTTACCGCTAACGATGCGTCGTGCACGCCTGTTACCCGAAACACAGGGGGAATCTGGGCCGTGAGGATAGTGTGGAGGGCCTGGAGAAGGAATTGAGACGCTGGTCTGCGTTTGTTCTGCGGAGATTGTTGTCGCGGGTGGGTTGGTTTCCTCCCAGAGCAAGCGAAACGACAATTTTCTGGCCTATGCCAGGGAGCTTTGTCAATTAGAGTCAAGAACCACTAGCATCAGCAGCACCACCAACAGCATCAGCAGCAGCCGGCAACGGTAGATAACTGACGGAGAAGGCGAGCCGCTCAATTCAGTTCCTGCAGAAGCCCCCTGCACATGCAGCAAAACGTCGGACATCGTGCTGAGCAACACGCAGTACAACCCAAAAACACACGGGAGATCTGCACTTCGGTTGCCCACGAATCGTATTCTATCAACACTGTGGGCCTCTCGTATGTGGTGTAGTAATTCGGCACGTAAGGATTCACCCTCACAGAGATTTCATGAATTGCCTTGTCTCACGGTTGCAATTTAATTCAAGAAATTCTTAATTTTGCGTCTCGTTTTTGTTTACCATCTCATTTGTACAATTTAGAATGTTTTTCTAAATGCATGCGGTCCCCTGTCCAATTTCCACTTCTTAGCCTGGGCGCCTTGAACCCCACACCAGCCCATCCATGGACCCCAGGCGCATTGCAGCCTCACCGCCCCGCACACTCAAACAGCTCCGCTGTGGGCTCCCAGCCACGGACGCCCGTACACAGGAGATCTCCGCGCTTCGGGTAGCGCGATTGCCGCACTCACCGGATTCTGCGCGTCTCCCGGCGGCGCAGGCTCGCGTCTCGCTCCACCACGCGCAGCACGTGCAGCACCTCTTCCTCGGTCATCGTCGGCGGCAGCTCCAGCACCGTGGTGCCGTCCCCTTCCCTCTGCCCCCCCTTTTCCACCGCCCCCGCATCCTCTTCCTCCTCTCGCCGCGGCAGCCCCTGCCCCGCAACCGGCTTGGCGCTCCGCCTGCCTCTCATTGCGCCAGCTGCTTGTCGCGTCGAATAATTCCGCCTCTCGCTAAATTCACGAGACGCCTCCGCCTTAAAATTCACAGGACGCCTTCTTGAAATTCAACAGACGCCTTGTAAAAATTCACGGAATGCCTTCTCAGGATTCACTTGATACCATCGCAAAAAACCGTGGCCATGATAATTTTACGTGTAATAGGAAGAATGTTTACCTGTTGCCCATTCCTCAAATACGGCAGACTCTCCTGTCTGTAATCGGGTTCCTGCAATTGCTTCCTTCCCAACAGGATATTGTTTTGCCTTTCAACTCGAGCTCTTTGAGTGCCCTCTCTTCTTGCAATGCTCCTCTCGACATATAGACCCAGGCGATTGATAAAATGTTGCTTCAAAGCCCTTGAATTGCTTCTTCAAAGCTCTCCGTTCTACCGTTCACTTCATTGGGCTGGACTGAGCCAATCTCTCTCACTCTGTCACCTGCTCTTTATCCGACAAAATGATTGCCGGCAAATGACCCTTCTCCCTTCAGCTGCTGTCTGCTTACATCCTTAGCTAACTCGGCAATCCCTGCACGCATGGAATTAATTCCATGAACCTCAGTGCTATTTCAGTGTCCTTGAGTCTTTAATCACCCACTGCTTTCAGAGTTGCTATTTAGAAATGGCACTATCCTGAAAAAACCCAGGCTCCCATCTTCTTTGTGACCTCCGTACCTTGTATACCCCAACACGCGCTTACTGCCTCGTCCAGAGATTTATGGATGAGGTTCCTGAAATTGAGAATAGGGCACAAATAATAAATTAAGCTCATAGAAAACAATAATAATACGAATAATGTATTCCCTTTATTTACCCATGAAAGCCTCACTGTGAGTCGAGGATCTATTTCAAGACGGCCGGCCCTGCACTGGGAAGTTTGGCCGATTCCATTCGTGTTTGTTTAGCTTTGCATAGGAGGAAACTGGAGATCCCAGAGAATTCCCATCACTCGTGCGAAGAGGGATAAGCAGACTGGTTCGTGACTATCGTTACATGATGCGTGGCATTTAACCAATTCGCTGTTATTATTTTTTACTGAGAACAGGGCATAAATGATTCATGTAGCTCGCAGCAAATAGCAATCATTATAAATATATTTTATTTAACGAGGAAAACCTGACTAGAAATTAATTTTCGTTAATCGTTGGACATGTCCAGTAGTTCCACATCTGTCCAGTCAACATCCTTCAAGTGGGAGGAACGGTAGCAGTACCGCTGGAAATGCTCACAACGCCTACAAAGTATCTCGCTCAATGGCTTTGCCACCTTGAGAAATGCTTTGCCACCTTCAAAGCCCCCTTTCAACAACCATCGTTACGTAACAGATAATGCCATTTAAAGCGCGCGCGCGCGAATTCTTGACTTGGTCCCCAATTGCAGAAGCGGGGTGTCTGACACGTGCAACGCACCATGCACTAAATTAGGCTGAGGAATTAATCTCAGGTGGAACATTTCACGCGAAGCGACAGGGGGATCTGGTTTTTAATTGTACATTGTTCAAACTTTGCGTCTCGCTCAAGCTATGGTCACCATTTCTCATAATCAAACGTGAGGTAGGGTGTTAATTGGTGGCGGCTGATGTTTCCACTGCGTATTATGTTTGTGTGTGTGAACTTTGCGGTATTGGAATCGCGTCAAATAATGACACTTCCGTTTTCATTGCAGTATCAAGCAACCATCTACGCATTCCAACACACACAAGCCAACATACAACAAATACCCCCCCGTGTAGCCTTAACAGATTGTTGGGGCAAGTGCTGTTAGCGAGCACCTATGAAGGCCGTCACCGCACACGAGGGGGTGGGTGGCCAGCACCACGTAACATACAACACACACAAGCGTACATACATATCACATACACATAGCAACACACTCCAACAACACACACAGACACAGATCCCCCGCATAGCCTTAATAGACTGTTGGGGCAAGTGCTGTTAGCGGTTCGGCGCACGAGGGGGCTGGAGGTGATCAGCACCACGCCCGGCCGCCTTTGTCTCCCCAGCGCTGATATTTACAAACCGCAGCAGGTATTCATTTAAGGACGAGTTGACCTAGGGGAGGGTCTAGAACCGGTACAGATATTCGTCACTGTCACTGATCATAAACGGTAATCCAACTCGGGTCGCTGGCTTCGTAGCGCAGTGCGCTAAACGCCACGCTACCGCTCCCCCAACATACCAACGGCACACGCCAGAACACTCGCACCAACGCACGTGCGCCCTGCCCTGCACGCTCGCCAACAAAGACAAAGCTCCTCCGTACAACCTGCACGCACGCCGTCGGGGCAAGCATTGTTGGCGGGCAACCTCGTGAAGGCCGGGTACGCGGTGCACGAGAGAATGGGGTGTTGCCAGCACCCACGCCCGACCGCCACGGACACACGGCCAGCCCTTGCAGCGCCAAATGCCTCCAATCATTCCACCCGTCCGTCCCGAACGTAGCAAAATTCCCCTTCTCTCGGTCCTCACCGCACAAAGCATCGTCCTCTTCTCCCGGCTGCCAACACACGAGGTCTGTCTTCATCGTCAACTGGAGACAGCCACTCCCCTCTCTCTCGTCCCTGGGCGATGGCTAGAGGAATGGTGTTGTGATCTATATCCAGGACTCGTCCAATGAGCGAGCCGACGCGCCTTGGGAGAAATCTGTGGTTTTGTCGTTGCTTTGTCGGGGGGTGCCTTGCGTCCGGAGGCACCCGCCTCTCACTCCTCCCTCCCCCATCTCATCCCTCCATCCTCCCCCTATTCCTCCTCCACATCCTCCACCCTCCCTTTTCACTTACTCCGCGACGCAGCGCCGTCACGTGACGCGTGATGGGATTCCAACACCCGTGATGAGCCTCCGTGTGCTTCGCGCGTGGCGTAGCCATCGAGGGTGCAGGCGGTGCGACTGCGCCGGAGAACGCGCGCGTTGGGAGTGGTGCTCAGGCGCCAGGCGACAAAGAGATGGGGGAGGGGGGGTTGTTTATTCTTGGCACCAGCGCCCGTACCAACCACGCTGGGCCCTTGAACGTTGCCACCATTATTAGTTTGTCGCTGTTATTGTTGAATTAATGAACACATATAGAGATCCCCCGGATTGCCTTAACGGACTGTTGGTGCAAGTGCTGTTAGCGAGCACCTATGAAGGCTGGCACGGCACACGAGGGGGTGGGTGGCCATCGCCTAGCCTGGCCGCCTTTGTCCCCTACTCGTGATGTTTGCACACCGCGCCAGGTACTCATTTGAGGCTGAGTCGGCCTAGGGGAGGCCCAGGACCCGTTCAGAATAATCGTCACTTGTGTTGCCCGTGAGTGGGAATCGAACTCGGGGCGTCAGGTTCGTAGCATAGCGCTAACCACTACACTACCGCTCCCCACCTATGCACCATACTTCACCACATTGGATAAGTGCGAGTGGTGAAGGAGCGTGCGCCAGGTTCAGGTACATCAGTCGCCACGTTGATTCGACTTACTCCGTGGCCGGGAACCGGACTAACGTTGATTTGGTTCACAGCGCAATGCGCTAACCACCGCACCGCCGTGTCGCTCTTAATTGAATGGGCGTTTATACATCGTTGCCAATTATCACGAGTCGGCATTCACTCAAGGGGCAGAACAACGGTGCAGTGGCGTTGTGAGAACTTGACTCGCCTTAATAGGCGCAAAACACTGTGCAACCAATCAGTAGCAATAACCATAAACCCTAAGGCCAACCCGATCCTCCTTACATGCCCGAACCATTTTCCGAACACTCACAATATTGACATCCTCAAAATGTTTTCTTCCCAAACGCAATTCATACTCCGCGTACTAGTCCTATCCATAACCCTGTTTCTGACCCCGAACCAAAATGTCTAACCCTATTCTTTGGTTCTTTGGGTGAAGTCACGTAGATGGAAAAAATAAAAGTAAATAAAATAAAATAAACTACGAGGTTTTTATCACAACACAAGCGATCCCCTCCCCCTTTTTCCTCCTGATGACGATCGCTTGTGTTGTGATCGAAACGCCGTAGTTTTTACTTGATTTACTTTTATTTTTTCTATCTATGTGACTTTACCGAAAGAACCAAAGAATGAGTTCCTGCAGTCACAACAGTCTTAAGTCAAAATCTCTAACCCTATTCATCACATGAACCAGCTCACTAAACCGCAGCCCTAATTCTATTCCTATTCCTAACCTGCACCCTATACCCAGCTCGAACTCAATTCAAATGCTTGACCCCATCTCTATCCCTGACCCCTGGGCCTCTTCCTATATTTCATACCTAACGGTTTCCCTAACCCCAACCCTATGTAACCCTTTTTCCTAAAGATGCATGGCTATACTATGAGACCTCCTTTGCCAGTAGCAAGATATAGTAATAGGTTTTTACCCTTTTATCTGGCACAAAAACTGACACCTTTATACAAGGGATCATGTTTGCAATAACCACAACACAAGCAGTCAAAATGCAAACAAAAAAGACAACTCTGATAATAATATGCACTGTCCTTGAAATTGATTGGTCCACACCCGAGACAGCTTTTGTTAGAGCCTAGTCTCCACTGGTGTTGGACCAGAAGACGCCTTTTGGCGTCTTCTGGTCCAACACCAGTGGAGACGATCTATTTCAAGGACAGTGCATTATCAGATTTGTCTCTTTTTGTTTGCATTTTGACTGCTTGTGTTGTGGTTATTGCAAACATGATCCCTTGTTTAAAGGTGTCAGTTTTTGTGCCAGATAAAAGGGTAAAAACCTATTACTATGCATGGCTATGTCACAGCCCATTGCCTCTTCCGAAAACAACACTAAAACTAACGCACCGTCTGCTTCACATTGCACCTTAAAAATCCTGTGACATAATTCGCAAGAGAAGGCCAACTTACTGAATAGCAATCGATTATACAGAGCAACCTTCGCTCCCTACTGCGACGACTTGGCAGGACCCTCCTGCTAAAGAGTCGTGAGACTCGGTGAGGCTTCAGTGGCTATACAAGTGAAATAATAGATACTAATGTGACGGATTCCATCCAATCCCAGACAGTTACAAAAAAAAAAAAACCTCAACACATGTGCCAAGAATATTTCCTTCAAATATATATACAGCACAGTATACATATATCATGCAACGTTTCTGGTAAAAGCCCTTCTTCAGAGCACGTGCTATTAAGTAGGGCCATTGGCCAAAACGTCGCTTATCTATGTATATATGTGTTATCTTAATGCAGTGCTATTGGCGATTGTGTTGAGTTCTTTTTCTTAATTGAGCTTGTGCAGCACTGCCAACGCAGCAGCAGCAGTAGCGACGCCAAACAAGGGTGATAACGAGGGCCCTATCGTCAACAACGCGTAAATCACAGCGCGCACGATGCAAGTACGCTGCAGAGCAATCATCACACCACGCTAAGTCGCTCAGCCTAGGCCAGGGGATCGGCAACCTGGGGCTCTTTAAGGACTGCTACGTGACGTTTATTTATTAACGGCCACCGTCTCGCATGCACATGCATTGGCGGCTCTTGACATATTGATGGCGGGGGGGGGGGGGTTTCTCCCCCGAATTTGAAAAAAATTACTCTTCTTGTTATTTTGGTTTCCGACCTCTGACCTAGACGAACACATTTAACTCGAATCCGCACAGCTACTTCCAATGCTTCCTGGGAACCCAGTGCCTCTGTCCATTTCATCATGAGCAGCAGGAGCAGCCATGATCAATTCTCTGCCGGATGAAGGCCTTTCCAAACTGTCGACATCACTCATGCGAGTGCGATGTAATAATTCACACAGCTCTGCCCCACAAGCGGATTCCATCGCTCCATCTCCTTGGAGGACGATTTCTCAAACGCGTCCCATTCCATGGCTGCCACTGACGTCATTATCATTGTTAGCGACCATCGGATCTGATCCCGTCTAGCTATGGCGTGTCCTTCCCGAGCCCTCCATGCTTTTATTAACAGACTGAATGTTGATATTGTTAATAAAGTAAAAGAAGGGAGAACCAAACATATGATGCACTCACCTGCTTTAGAAATGCGTGCAAATTAAGATTATAAACAGTTTCTGGATTTGCGTGTGCTTAGTTACGTTTCAAATGAATTAATTTAGGCAACAGGGTTGAGAATAAATGAGAACATTGTATTAATTCGTTTAAAGCGGATTCATTACGGCCCACATAATTGGAAAGTAAGTGATTTACAAGGTATAATTAGGGTACCGCTGCTTAGGACCCCCTGATAAATACTATTAAGGCCGGTCCACAACATTACTTTAATATGGCTAGGAAACTGCTTATTATTATCAAACAAAAAAAAACTCAAAGTGCTTTCTCGCTCAAACAAACATGTGGAGGCACTCGCCTTCTGTTTATAGCTTGGAGGGCCAGTGGTGGAAATTCCATATTTCTATAACGGGGCCCAGTGAGACCATACAGTAAACATTTGCTCGTTGTAATCTGGTGTCTTCTACATTTGGGTATGAAGTTGTAGGTATATTTAATACGAACAATGCCTATAATGTGTAGGGAAACCTTAGCGAGTCTCAAAAATATTTTCAGGAGGGCCCTGCAACGTGCTGTTTGGTCAATGTCGTTAACGAGTGGGTTTGTGGAGCAACAAAAACACAGTACCACCCAGAGACAAAACCATGCCACCAAATCATTGGGTTTTTTTGTTTGCCATACCTCCGAAAGGACGACCACCGCGATTATTTCGGCTAATTTCCAGACGCCATACGGATCGTGGCGTCGTGAGACCGCGAGGAGATGCCCTTACGACCTGGGCAGCTCCTTCATCCGGCAGTGGATGAAACATGGCTGTTGATGACGACGACGATGATATCCTTTGCGCTGGCATTATAATCACTCCTCCGTGCTGCTCTTACAGTGACTTCATTTAACGAGTTGGTCGGCGTGACTTTGAGCGATCTACGCGTGTGTACATGACGCACGCGCATCGCCGCAGGGAAGGCACCTGAAAGTCAATGATGATTGCTCACTGACGCAGCGTTGCCCCATCGAGTCAACGAGCCTTCGCGAATGTATTCCGGGGCAAGCGTGAACTGGAATATAAATGATCGCATCGCCGAGTCAGAACGGCAACCCGCACTCCGTTCAGCCGATATTAAGGAGCAGTTTACCGTATTCTCCCTATTGTGAGAGACTTTATTCGCCGTCTATTTAAAAGCGAAAAATACGTTGGGGGATGCGTCTTCGAAGCCCAAGAGGTGTGTGCTGCGCGTGCAAACAGGTATTAATGATTTTATGGACACCGGGCACACATTGTGGGTGCGTCTTACTTTCCAACGCGTCTTATAATCCGGAGAATTCGGTCAAATCTAGCGCAGGGTTTCGGCAACCTTTTTAAAAAAGAGTATAAAATGTTTTGTCTTTGACCAAAATAGTTTAAGAGCCGCATCACACGCGGAGCTACTTGTATAATACGCAAACACAGCAGTGGGTATACAGCAGATGACAAACACATTCTGACTTAAATAAACAAAATAGGTGATAAAATAAACTGCGTCTATTTAGTTGTACCGTTGTATATTTTGTCGTTACCAAGACATTCCACAGAGACCCATTCCCTATTGCATGTAATAAATTGCCGTATTTTCTTTGCGTCAAATTATGTTGACGATGTAAGGTTGTTGTTGTTATTGTTGTTATTTTACAAACCGGTTGCCCGCAAGTGGGAAGACACAAATCCGCGTGCGGTTCCAGATCCGCGGGTTGCCTGCCCCTAATTCTAGGCGGCTCCTGTCCTGTGCTGCGTTGACCTCTGGATGAGGCTTGGCAGCGTCGTAGGGATGGGGTCCACGGAACTGTTACATTCACGATTACTTCTCACAACGCACCCATGTATTTTTTTTTACCAATAACAAAAAACTCAACACATTCCTCAATAACGCTGCCTTTAAAGGAAAAAAAATCTATACAGAACAGGCGACGTTTCGGGAATAGGTCCTTCTTTATCGTGTTGTGTCGTTCGTGCTTGTGCACCCACGGCCACCACAGCATCACCGAATCGTACCGCGAGCGGGGCCGGTGAGGTTGGGAGCATCTGTCCTTGGAGGTGTCATGATTAAGCCACCCCTGTCACAATCTAGGGCAGTGGTATTATGTACAGGCCTCTCTCTATTGGTCGGAAGGGTCACATGATCCCATCAAGTACACCGTGTACAAAAATGCAACTACCGATTCGTACACACGTGATTCGATTAATGTAATATCGTATGCTTTAGGCACGTGTATCAATGGGTCATGACGCCCCGAGTCATCTTGGTTTGTTGGTGATGCATAACTATGTGTCTATATGTATATAAACTTACGTACTGGCTTGGCGCATTGTGAGTTATATGCAAGCGTCTGCTTCCTGGCTAAACGATGGAAATAGAATCGCCATTTAATCCATCAGACAAATGGCATGCTTAAATGTTTTCAGCACTCTGCTGATGCGAGGAAATAGGTGTAAACCGGTCCAGAATTTGCCTATTTTGTCAAACTATCCTGTTAAATATTGGCATTTTAGGCTGATGGTTAAATTTAGGCACTTATTTTTATGCCTAGAAAAGAGATTGTTTACGTGCATTATGCACCTCGTCCCGTATAGTGTCACTTACTAATATTGGCCACGAGGTGGCGGTCTCAAACCGTTTACGGTATTTCTTTTTGAGGTTTTGTTTTGGCACTGGTAAAACCCATTGGCCAATAAATGCTTATTTTCGATGAGCACCTGGTGACACCATAGAAACCTGGATACCGCCAAAAAGCATTCACAGAACCCACTGTACATAGTCAAGTTCTGAACGGCAAAGTCGTTCATAAAGCGGGTCGAACTAGGAAAAAAACAATACAAAGCTCGAAGAACGCATCGTATAAGTCTAAAAAGTAGAGCGAATAATTGCACGTACACATGTAAGGAAATCTGAAGTCCAAAAGGAATTTGAAGTGGGACAAGGGTGGTAAGGTGTATGTATGCATGAATGTTAAACTTCATTCGGACCGTACATAGCCAAACAAATATTCTTGCTCGGTAGTTCCAATGATTATGGGAGAGACTTAACGAGATGACTGTTTGACATTTACCGCAATTTCGTAGCAATTTATTCAGACGCTCCAAGCTCATTAGTGGAATTGTGTGTCCAATAAATACATGTTATTTTCGATTTCTGCACATTACAGACAAACGTTTTCTTTGGGTCAATGGACTAAAAGAACGAGACAAAGTAAATGACACGGTACAAACCAGACAGAACAAATAAGGGAAAAAGTACCGACGAGACTACCAATTGGAACAGACGAGGCGGCATCGAGGAGACAGCCAGTGCGAATGCGACGGTTAGAAATGAAACAGACAAAACCGAAGTAACAGACATATCATATGCGGACATATGAGAAACTAGACGAAAAATAATCGATTCTTGCATCGAATAACGAGCTAATTGTGACAATTCGTCGAATCTATTCATGGCGAGTGCCCCCACCCCCGAGTGACTTTTTCAGAATAATTTCAGCACCAAGGCCAGCGCCCCAATGCAGTCACGTGACGCGGGCAATTGACCCTCACTCGAAAATTTGACACCACCCGCCCTGCCCCCACCCCGCTTCTATCCCCCCCCCCCCCCCCGTTACCCACGCTGTCGAGTCCACGTACCCATTTTAAAATCAGGCTTAGGACCTTCATCTCCTCCTCCATGCCAGAAGTGGCCAAGACGTGGATCGCGATCCACGGGTGAATCGCTAACGAAATGTTTTCGATCTCAGGATAAATCAGAGCGTACACTGACGTGAGCAGACAAAGATGTTCGTTACGGCTGTTGGCAGATAAAACAAAATCCCAGATTAAGAATACGTATACATTAAAAAAACACACACTTTTACCAACAGTTGGCACGAGAACATTATCTCCGCAGTATACACACGACAGGGCTAAATCCGAGTAATTGTTGGCAGTAGCTTTCTGGTGGATCGCAGAGCCCTGTGAGATCAACCGAAATGGATCACAGAGCTTGGTGTATTGTTAACCACGATATCCTACTGGTTTTATAAGGCTTCTTGCATGTACACACTACTACCGATTATACTGACTAAAATATATATATACACATTGACATTGGTGGTTTTGATGTGGTTCGTGAGCTCTGAGTGGGCTCGATGCAACAATGCCGAGGAGACGCTACGGCACCGCGTGTGGCGCATCTTTCCGTCCCGGACACGAGACACCACTAGGTGGAACCCCAGTCTCCGATATATTTCCTCTGTTCACCGCGTTCTTTGCTTGTTTCAAGCCAGCCGTGGGTAGGGGGGGGGATACGAGCACTCATGTAATCCAGAGTTTTGTACGAGTGGTGAGGCTTAGATAGTAGATAGATTTGCGCAACTTCTACTTGCGTTGTGCTGCGAGGTGGCCAAGAGGCAGGGCCGTCCATAGGCGGGTGGGGTGCCGGGCCTGGGGCAAATCCCACTGTGTGGGCTCCCCGACGCCTTCCAGCTAAACCCTCCCCCCCCCCCCCCATCCAAGCGCGGGGCCCGGGCGGTCGCCCCGATTCGCCGTACCCTAAGGATAGCTCTGCCGGGCGGTGGCGGTGTAGTATAGCCTAATGGATTTGTAAGCCATCTGTGCGTAACTTTGAGCGTTGTCTCCTCCTAACACTGGTTGGATAGTTGTTCGGGTAATTGTTAGGGATAATATTAGCGGCTGGTTAGCTAGTTGAATCGGGTTATTGTCAGTGAGAGGCTTAGGATTCGTGGCTGGTTGGTTCTACAGGACTATGGTTGATTCAGGCTGTAGAATTCGCTCGTGTGTATGCTGGGCTCGTGTTGCTCCGTGCGCAAACTAGTAAACACGGAACGTTGGACCACAACGTTGGTGCAACGTTGGCATGTTTACTATGACATTACTTGCCTCTCCTCCGATCGCAGTGTGTGGGCTGTTCAGTGTTTGCTGTTGTTGTCGATGTTATTGTTGTTTACAGCGCAGTGTGTGAGTGTGGGGGGGGGGGGGGGGGATGGTGTCTTTGTATGTGCGACTCGAATCCCGCAGGGGCCGTGCGTGGGATCCCACCAGCCCCCCTCCCTCCCTCCCTCCCCTGCCGACGCTCTCTGCTCCATGGCTCCTCCTGACTCCAGCGCGCGTCATCGTCGGCAGCATTCGCGCTACCCTAGGGCGGTGTGGTTCTGAGCCCCGGGATGCACGCACACCCTCTGGGGGGGGGGGTGCGTGATGCCCATTCTGAGAACCAAAGGGGGGGGGGCTGCAGGTTGCAGCAAAGGTTAAGAACCACTGCCCTAGGGCTAGGGGTTGGTGGATCAAGCGGGGATTGCCCCCACACGTGAGACACACGTTGGAGCACACTCAACCTGCAAGGACAGTGAGCTGAGTATGTGTGCGTTGTGCAGTACTGTAACAGACCACATTATAGAATATAGAACCTGCGATCAAATCACCCGGAATTGACACGATCTCGTTGGATATTAAAGTAACAAAACAATTCAACACATTCGTCAATAACACTGCCTCAAAAGAAGAAAAAGCCCACACACATATATAACATAATAGACAACGTTACGGGCGATGGTCCTTTTTTATTCGTTAAAACGTTGTCTAGTATATATGTTACCTTTTAAGGCAGCTTTGCTGATGATTACAGTATGTATGTGTTTTTGTTTGTTATTTGTGCTCGTGCACGACTGCCAACACAGCATCGCCAAAAACATCGTCCGATATCAGAAGCTAAGCGGGCTGGAGGCTGGATAGTTTTTAAATGGGCCACCGCAATGCATCAAAACGTCGTTATAGGCTCCTTCGGTGCTACGTGGTGAACTATGGCCAAATAACCCCCACCAGTGCCAGATTAACCCAGTCGCAAAAGTAGCTGCACGTGTTACGAGCCCCGCACTTTCAAGGGCCCCGCGCTCAATGTTTTCAAGCGATCAATTTAGGTTCAGTGATTCTGCACTTGCTCTATTACTATAGTACTATACCGCCTTTAACTCTTATGAACGACTGGGTGTTTAAGGTTAGCGATATGTCGTATTATCTGATTGTATAGCAAATGAAAAAATACAATTACTTTACTATGCAAGTAAAACAAGTGTGTTTTGATATTTGTGAGTTTTTTTTATTTAGGGCCCCTTTATAACATCATATGCTACAGGCCCCGCACGAGCTTCATCTAGCACTGCCCCCACCCAAAGACCCGTACGGCATGGAGACGTCCTCACTACCGTGGCGGATTGACAAGAGCATGGGCATCTCCGTGCCCTGCCCGATTCACAATCTCCTTTATAGTCAGCTCTTGATGCCGTTCGTACAAAAAAAGATAACAGTGGCCCTATGCACGGCGTGGGAATATATGAAAGCCACTCTCACTTGCGCGGACAAACCACACTTAACTCGTGCCCAGGATTACGCACACAGGCGAGAAACAACGACGGCGATTGTGTCTGGACTCGGAGCTATGAGATAGGCTGTGGAAATGCGAGAATTTTGGGGCAATTTGAC